GTCTTCCTCTGGACCAAACGTCTGCTGTTTATATGTCAGCTTACCTTGCAGGATGTGTAATTTCTCCACCTAGTTAACATTTTTCCTATAACTGGAATAATTTTGGTCATTTCCTTTGAACATTCCTATATGGAAGAAAAATATATTTGAAATAAATTTTAAAAATATTCTTCCAAAATATATATTGACATATATTTGAAATGCTACAATTTTGGCAATATTCAATATATTTCAATTAAAAAAAAAAAAAAAATATATATATATATATATATATGTGTACTGCATGTTGAAATGCGTTTTTATTACAAAATATATGACAAATATTTTTAAAAATACATTTCAAATATACTGTATGTCTTTAAAAATACAAATTTACATTTTTGGACTGTATTTACAAATATATGTTAAAATGACATTTTATATGTTAAAAAAAATCTGAAGAATATATTTTACAAATATATATTTTTAAAAATATATATGTTTTTAAATATATTCTTCAGATTTTTTTAACATATAAAAAAGAAATTTTAACATTTATTTTTACATATATTTGTAAATGCATTCCAAAAATTTAGATTTGTATTTTTAAAGACATACAGTATATTTGAAATGTATTTTTAAAAATATTTTTCGTATATTTTGTAATAAAAACACATTTCAACATGCAGTATACATATATATATATATTTATTGAAATATATTTTGAAATATATGGAATATGGTCAAAATTGTAGCATTTCAAATATATGGCAATATATTTGGGAAGAATATTTTTAAAATATATTTCAAATATATTTTTCTTCCTTGTGGGTTCTAATGATCTATCTGGCTGTTAATGATTGAATTGCCCATTAATCTAGTTTTATCATTCAGATTTGTGTAAAGCAGAATGCTGAGACCTTGCTCAGCACAGAAGGATCTGTCCATCCACCGTAGGTTATTTACAAGAATTTTTTTTCTTCAATCAGAAGCTGAAAGGAAATCCCCCAAATCGAGGTGTTGTTTTCAGGCCAAGACATAAGTGACTGCATGATTGGCACAGTGCTGGAATAATTAAATAACTGCCTTATATGTTCAGGTAGTCAAAATGGATGTTACCCGGGAGTATGGAGCAGGCAGCGTTTCCATGGTAACCCCCAGCGATGGCTACTGGGGAAAACAATTATGTTTTTTTTTTTTTTTTACACTAAAAAGCACTATGGGGGTTTTTAAAAAAGCTTTGTGCTGCTTGTATGAAACACGCAGCTGACACGCTAATGAGGAACACAGCGTACCACCATTCTAATTGGACCATTAACAAAAATTGCCTTTTTATTGAATTGTTCCTATTTCCAATAACAAGTATGTTGGATCTACCGGATGTCATAACACAAGACACTTCCCATTCTTCTTCACAAATGAATGGCGTGAACAGAGGATTGTTTGCAGATTGCACATTACTGCTTTGGGAAAACTTTAATAAAGCAATTTGTAAAGTAAAGACACTCGAGACACAAAGAGTGCAGGCATGGGAATATCCTTTAATATTTAGTCATATATTGTATAATTGGTATGAGGATATAGCGGGTTGTTCTTTTGTGCTAGTGGCTGTTGTTTCTTCCCTCCCTGGGCGCTCACTGTATTTCTTTATTTTCATATTGTATAACTGTATGCATTATTCTCCTGCTTGTGATGAGCATTATAGGCACTGTGCAAGTGTTGGTAACTTGGTGCTAGAGATTTCTACCTTTATTGTGTCTGTTAATATAATAATTTTGATGTACAATTTACTATATTGAAGTATCATTTTAGTGTAACCAGGACTGCTGTGTAATGTCTTCCTTTGTTACTGCTGTATTATCCTTCTGCAGTGTGGACAGGGTTAAAATGAATATTCATTAATACAGAAGTGCAGCAGCCATCTTTAATGTGGGAGAAAACTCCCCTTTTTGCTCTGTACCTACAGGTAAGCCTATAAGGTGGCTTATCTGTAGGTACCATAAATATCTCCTAAACAAACACCATTTAGGAGATATTTCCCTATGTAGCCACTGGATCATGCTTGTCTATGGAGTGTCTCCAGTGCAGGGGACAGCCATCTTGGCTGGGTCTGATTCAGTCCTGGAGGATGGTGGTTGGCTGATGCAACATAGCAAGGGGAGGTGTGTTTGCAAGTTGCTTGGGGGAAAGTAAGCAGGTGTGTGGGGGAAAAGGACCAGGTTTCTGCTGGCTGAACAGAACCCTGAACACAGCTGACCACAATTGGGTGAAGCAAAGAGACGACTCATCTTGGGACTTTCTCCCTGGGAAGGTGTGTGGTGTGATTTGGATGCCTGGTGAGATCAGACTGTACTGGAGAGTGATCCTACTGTTTGTGAGGAATGGAAATAAGGACTGTCTCAAAAAAGATTGAAAGAGAGGAATCACAGCAATTCCTATCCGGGTTTGAGTGCTTGAACTGAACCACAGTACATGTTCAGAGACCAGAAGGAGGGTTCCCTGGGTCTGGTAAGAGACTAACATTTCACAAGTTAAACTGTTGTCAGCTCGGAAATGTTGTGGTTTTTTTTTCAAGGGCTCCAACTCTGACGATCAATAGTTATATATATATATATATATATATATATATATATATATATTATATATATTTATTATACATAAATGCTTTAAAATACCTAAAGGTGTGTAAGTAAGTGCTGGGTGAGTGATGTGTCTCATCTTCAGATCTTCAGAACGCTGCAGATTCTGGTGTAAGGGTAACTCTGATATAAGGGGGTCTCTGGTAACCAGAGTAAAATTGGGTGCCCGGCCCCCACCACTCTTCTACAATCTCCCACAACACCCTCCCTGGCCCTGGCTGCTGCCACAGAGAGAGAGGGTTAACCTCTCTGGAAAGTAGCCGGCCATCCCCGGAACTAATCCCAGTGTCTTTCTTCCTTGTGCGGAAAGCTTACACCCTCCAGCAGTGCACAGCCTCCTCAGATTCCATGGCAGAGCATCACCGGGTCCCCATCCCTGCCACATGTGTCTCTTCTTCCGAGGGTGGTGGCATGCCTTTAAAACTGAACACATTAATTACATAGGTTCTGGGGCTGATTAAGGTGCCATAGCTGCATTAAATTAACCTCAGAACCTGTGTAATAATATGTTTGTTTTTAAAAAGTATGAGGTGGCAACCCTAGATGACCTCCTCCTAAAAATGAAATAAATTAGCTAATCACCTTCTCAATGGCACACAAAGCCATTTGACTTTCAATAGTAATCAGCTGTGGTCATTTTGATTAGCTCAACATGAAAAGAGCTTTCCTGGAGCATTTCAGTCCCTGATAGTGCAATTGAAGCAAACAATCAAAGGGATGGATACAAAACAATTTCAAAGGCTTTATCAATGTCTTGAAGCACAGCGAAGTCTATTATTAAGAAGTGGAAGGTATTTGGTACAACACAGACCCTCCTTGGATCAGGATGTCTCACCAACCTGGCTGAAAGAACCAGGAGGAAACTGGTCAGAGAGGCTACAAAGAGGCCTACAGCAACTCTGAAGCAGTTGGAGGAATTTATAACAAAGAGTGGTCATTGTATGCATATTAATATTACAGATAGATACTTATAGCACCCACAATTTACGCAGCACTTTACATATATATTGTACATTCACATCAGTCCCTAACCCTCAAGGGGCGTACAATCTAAGGTCCCTAACTCACATTCATACATACACATACTAGGGCCAATTTAGACAGGATCCAATTAACCTACCAGCATGTCTTTGGAGTGTGGGAGGAAACCACAGTACCCAGAAGAAACCCACGCAGGCACAGGGAGAACATGCAAACTCCATGCAGGAGGTGGCTGAGATTTGAACCAACGACCCTAATACTACCAGGCGGAAGTGCTAACCATTTAGCCACTGTGCTGACAACAATAGCACAAATCCTCTACAAATGTGGCTTGTATGGAAGGGTTGCAAGAAAAAAGCCACTTCTCAAGAAAGGCCACATGTAGTCACGACTGAGCTTTTCCAAAATGCACCTTGAAGATTCTGAGGCCACATGGAAAAAGGTGTTATGGTCAGATGAGACTAAAATTGAATTATTTGGCCTCAACATTAAATATGTCTGGCAGAAATCCAATTCAGCTCACCATCCAAATAACACCATACCTACAGTAAAGCATGGAGGTGGTAAGATCCGGTTATGGGGGGGTTTCTCTGCCACAAGGACTTGTCCAGATAGAAGGAAAAATGTAATAGCAGGAGCTACGTATGCACGGTAGGGAACCATGATTGCGTTGTACAACAGCAGGGACCTTGCGCATACATGGTGAAACAGCACTGTATGTGGGAAGTAATGGCCTCTAACATTCTGCACTTGTCTCCACCTATCTCCTTCTCCTCTCTGCCCCTCCAGCCCCCCTCCAGCTGTCTTCCAGCTCTCCCCTCGTAGCTGAATCTCACGGCATTTAAAACATCCCAGGTATCAAGGGGATTAGAGGATCCTACATCATTCACCAAGGCGAATACCAAGGCGAATGACATTGGCTGAGGAGCAGACCTACTAAAAAAGTTATTTACACATAGAAAAATTGGGGTTGATTTACTAAAGGCAAATAGACTGTACACCATACAAGGTGCAGTTGCATTCTGCAAGTGCAATTGCTCCAGAGCTTTGAAAATGAGATAAAGATGAGTCAGTGGGAGAAATAGTGCCCCATCAATGGGGGGGAGGGATTAGTGCCCCATCATTGGTGTCAGTGGGGGGGGGGGTAGTGCCCCATCGTTGGTGTCAGTGGGGGGAGGAATAGTGCCTCATCGTTGGTGTCAGTGGGGGGAGGAATAGTGCCCCATCGCTGGTGTCAGTGGGGGGAGGAATAGTGCCTCATCGTTGGTGTCAGTGGGGGGAGGAATAGTGCCCCATCGTTGGTGTCAGTGGGGGTGATGAATAGTGCCCCATCATTGGTGTCAGTGGGAGAAATAGTGCCCCACCATTGGTATTAGTGACACCAATGATGGGGCACTATTCCTCCCACTGACACCAATGATACTTACCTTGCTGACTCCTGCTCCAGCCTGGGCTTGCTCCCTCTCCCATCCACAGCCAGCATACCTGTCTGCAGCAGCACCATCTGCAAGGCACAGACACTTACCTGTCAGCTGTCTTCCTTCTCCCTCACTCGATCTTCATTGATCTTCTCACTGACGCTCGGCTCCTCCTCTCCAAGCTCTGCCTCCTCGCCAGTAATTGGTCACCTGTGTGCCTTTCCTGAGCTACAGTTCCGGCGGCCAATCATCAGCGAGGAGGTGGAGCTTACAGCTGCCATAGGCTGTTGAGTAATCCCGGGGGTGTGGCCAGATGACAGGGGCGCATGTGATCCCGCCCACACATCGCGATCCAGGGAACTGAAGACATCGGACCTGCTGAACTGACAACCTCTCTACCCCTCCTCCAGCAGCGCCTCGTGGACCGGATCTACGTGGGACTGGGACACAGAGTCGCGGACCCAGGTAAGGTACAGCAGCCTGCCCCCGTACTAAGTGTCCCTTCCATGGGAAAGGGGGGGGCGGCAACGCCACCCCCCTAAAAAGTGCCGCCCTAGGCAGACACCTTGTTTGCCTCACGGTAAATACGCCCCTGATCAACCCCATTGTGGGTTTTATTCCATTGCTATTAAAGATGGGGAAAACCATTAAAACAGAGACAACATGACAAATAGACTGAAGGTCCGCTTTTAAACTCCATTGAAAATCTGTGGAATGAATTGAAGACTGCAGTCCACAAATGGTCACCATCAAATTTAAAGTGATACTAAACCCAGGACCCTGCATTCACTATATCTGGTCTCCCACAGTACACTCTACATGGAAGTGCAATTCTTTTAGTAAATATAAACTGCTAAATACCTTTTCTCATCAGCAGTTAGAGCAGTCTTGTGACTTCTATCAGTATCCAGCCGAGCACTGATTAAAGCTTGTAGGAGGAGTTTTCTTTCTGCTCTAGGAGGATGCAGAACCCCTGACCTCTGTCTGGACAGATGCACTCTCCCAAAGAAAAAAAAAACTCTCTAGCAATACACTCTAAACTGAGCATGTGCAGAATGGCTACGGGTTCAGTCTGTCTTATCAGCCTAGACATTTGAACAAGAGGAGGGGCAGAGAAGACAGGGTCAAACAGCCTTTTCACACAATGCAGAGGATTAACCCCTTAGGTTCCACAGTGAGCATATAACAAGCATGCCTTACTGCATATACAGACTGATTTTACTATTGTGGATTTAGTAACTGAACAATGGGCAAATATTGCAAAGTCTAGATGTACAAAGTTAGTAGAGACATAATCCCAACAGACTAAGGGCTGGAATTAAAGTAAAAGTTGGTTCAACAAAATACTGACACAAGGGGGCGATCCCTATTTCAACTCAGTGATTCTGTTTTTGATTTTTTTTTTCCTGAAATTTGCTGTTGCAGCTTTCATTTGGATGTTATAAATTGCACAGCTGTATAAAACAAAAATGGTGTCTGTCTTCATTTCAGGCTGCAAAGCAACAAAATGTGGGGGATTCTTTTCTATACCCACTGTAAGTAGATCAGAGGAAGTACAGGACAGAGAAGGGGAAGCAAAATCCTCTTGCTCTTTATATTGATCTGGGACTCCAGTGAAGCACCCTTCTCAGTGAAGTTCCCAGTCTCACTCCTCCTGCTGCATGGGAATATCAGTGGACAGACTGGACATTATCAAAGCCACAACAGGTGGGTGGAGCTAGGAGTCAGATCCAGACGTCTCACCACTCCTCCTACAATATGAAACCAGGCTGACTGATCTTTTAAATTCTAGTCCTTTTCAGGTTCCAACAATAAAGGATTATAGAATAGCCTGTCTTGCCATTTCGCTGTTTTCTGGTTTGTCGTAACAATTTGTTTCTCAGAATAGGATAAAACCCGCGTTCAGCCCTCTTCAGAAGCTGCAATCATCTGCGGACTAGCATGGAGACTGTACAAAAACAGATGTCACACAAAGGCCAAGACTAATCGCATTTCCCTGGCTCCGGTGAATCACTGCTGCAGTTAAAAGGGTTGACATTTGAAAATTTACATTAAAGGTTAAAAAGTTCAGCGGCACAAACTGCGCTACGAAAGCAGAGATTTATACTCGCCTCCGGTGATACAAATAGTGGAATTACATCTACACAGAAAAGCAAACAAAAAGAACTTACTTAGGCTTTCTCCTCATCCTTGCAATATATGTGCATTTTGTCACCTGCAACAATCAGATATTGTCTGGCTGGAAACAATCGGATCACACCTCAATCTGATGCTCCAGCAAGGATACACCTTGTTCTTCCCTCCTTTTATATAATTCTTATGTTTTATTGAACTGCATCAGGTTTTTATTGTTTTGTGGTATGCTGACATCTAGTGGAAGTTTTGCATCACTACAACTTGTTTACCATGTGATTTGGTATCTCCCTCTGTCCCCCCCTTATGCTTAGTGCTAGTTAGTTCAGTTCTGGCTAGACCCTCCTCATTTCTGCTGTGTTCCCTCAGTCAGTGTAATCACTTTGCAGACACAGACCTTGAGAAAGACATTGTCTTTTTAGGGCTCATGTACACTGCAGCTGATAAACTCATGTTTAGGAGCTGTTTAGCGTTTTTTTTTCAGCAGCCTCTGAACTCACCCTAATGTTTTCCTATGTGTCCATGTACACATCTTCGTTCACAGGTATTTGAGTTTACAATCGTTTTTTTGAACACAGAAAACTTGCATTCAGCGGTCGATTTTATCAGCATTTCAAACGCAAAACGCTTGTAAACCCGGCAAATCGCGTTTATAAGTGTTTGTGTCTGAAATTTTTTTTTTAACTCTTCCAGTTCCTGATGCTATCCAGAGCCTTTTTTCATCATGAAAAATGCATGCAAAGCGTTTTCAATGTACTCAGATGGACAAAACACTGAACACAGGATGTTTCAACCAAGTTTGTCACACATTGTAATGACCAATTCACACCTCAGACCTCTCCTACCCTTGGAAACAAAAGATATGTTAATTACCATTCACACCTCAAATTCCTCATGAAGACCCCCTGCCAGGTGACCTTAATGACACTCCACCAGACACCTTTCCCACCCTTGGAAACAAAAGAAATGTTAATGAGCAACTCACACCTAGCTAATGTCAACACATCCTGCTGTCACTGCTCTCTGTATTTCTCTGAAACAGACTGAAATAGTTAATAATTTACCACTTTTCAGTGCATTCTGGGCATTTGGGAGGTTCTCCTGTTCTTATCTTTAAAAACGCTTATAAACGCGTAATGAAAATGCAGCTAAACCTACGTTTTCCAGCAGTCAGTTTCCATCGTTCAGAAGTGTCCCGTGTACATGGGGCCTAATACATCAAAAACTTGGATAAACATCCTCTGTTCTGCAATTAACTGAAGTTATATTGTGTTGGATTCAACTTCTGTGCCTTAGTGAAGTTAGGGCTCATGTACACTGTAGTTGATAAACTCACGTTTAGGAGCTTTTCTGTGTTTTTTTTCAGCAGCCCCTGAACTCTCCCTAATGTTTTCCTATGTGTCCATGTACACTATGCCATTTACAGTCATTTACAGGCAGTTGAGTTGTTTTAAAAGATTTTATCAGCGTTTTAAATGCCAAATGCTTGTAAACACGTGTAAACGTGGCTAACCGCATTTATAGGCAATTTTGCATTTAGAAGCGCTTTTTAACTGTTCCATATCTAAATGCTGTCCAGAGCCTTTTTTCATCATCAGAAATGCATGCAAAGCATTTTCCATGTGTTCAAATGGACCTAGCACACCAGCGCAGTCAGTTCCAGGTTTTGCGTGAAGGACAAAATGGTAGAACGTGCTGGATTATGCTCATGATGGGATTCATAGTGAATACAACCAGAAAAGACAGGTAATCCCAACACATACTTACTGCTCTCTCTGCTTCTGCTCTCTCTAGTTCTCTCAAAATATCTGAAATCGTTAATTTTTTACTGTTTTTCAGTGCATTCTGTGCATTTTGGAAGATATCCTGATGTTATCGTTAAAAAAACGCTTCTAAACACAAATGCGCATAAACACGGTATGCAAAAGTGGCTAAACAAACGTTTTTTAACCTACATTTTCAGCAGTCAGTTTCCATTGTTCAGAAGTGTTTTCCAAAAGTTCCGTGTACATGGAGCCTTAAGGTGTCTGTGGATGGAGCCAAGTCAGCATATAACTGGAAGAAAGCAAAGAAGGGGCGCACTCTCCTCATGCATTACCGTGCAAAAAAGGAATTTATTTAAAAATGACAAAAGTATATACTCACAAACCAAGATTCATAAAACAAGCTAGGAACCAATGTGACAGTCCAAGCAAAAGGGTATGCTAATGCGTTTCGGGAGACGTACTCCCTTCTTCAGAGCTACAACAACTATACATAATGCAAACTTATATAGAGGAGTAGGATGAAATGAGAGGCCAACTGAGCAGATCATGTGAGAGGCCAAGTCAGCATATGACCATACCAGGGGCGGACTGACCATTTGGAAACTCAGGCACTGCCCGAGGGTCCGGGGTCAGTAGGGGGCCCCATGAGATGCCCCTGGTACCTTTTTCATAGGCTTTTTTGAGTTTGGGCAAAGACACAGGGGCCCCATGATCCCCTATTGCCCGGGGGCCCCATAAGTTGTCAGTCCGCCCCAGGACCATACTGTCTAGATAGACTGGGTCTAAAAAGGTATGTCAATGCAAAAAGTTGCATTTGAAACAGAACACCCCTCGGGGTTATCATAGGGGGCAATACAAAGTGCTTGTGGAATGTTTGATGCACAATAAAGCCTGCATAGCTACATTGCCCCTTCTGGCAAATGAAAGCCTATAAAATGCCTCTGCCTGCAGTATTCATAGGTTGTCTTATTCTCCTCTTCCTATAAAAGGCTCTTGAAATGTTCCTTGTCCAGTATTTAGTCCTCACCCTGTTCAAAGTTTGCATGTTACCTCAAGATCAATTTATGTCAGGGCAGGAGCTGAGGAACGGACAGGCAGGTCTAATAACAATGTAACGCACTGGCTGACGACAACCACCACCCACAGACCGAATTCCCTCAGGGCGCGGAGTTTAAGTCCCAGGCTGCCCATCACCAGGGCCCCTGATGGTGGGGATGGACTTGACGCAGCCAGGAACCAGGTCGCGGCCCCCCAAGATACCTCAGTTGCGGTAATGGCCGCTGCCAATGGCGTGTAGCTGGTGGAAAAGACAACAACGGGACAAAACGGTACAGGACAGCAGACAAGAATCACAGGTCACGAGCCGGGTTCAGCAACAGAGGGTCAGATCAAAGGAGAACGCAAAGAATAGTCGAGTC